ATGTCTAACACAACAAAATGCATTGATGAATATGAGGCTGAATCTGAACAAATGTACGTATCAAACTGTCCAAAGAACTACTCGCGTGGTTTACTTTTGATTTCTTAAACACTTCTGTCCACATGTGATGATAATTTAATTCCTACTTCACCGACAGTGATGTAAAAGTGTCCTACCAGCTGTGATGGAGGTCAGGACTAAACCTGGTCTCTGTTCAACAAATGATTTAGCTGCAGCTTCGTAGCTGTAATTCTGAGTACACAGTGTGACTCCTGATCCATCCTGGTTCCATGTTGGGGATGATCTATAATTATAGGTAATCAATTAACTTACTGCTGCTGCCTCACTCATTCATTTGGATCCTGCTGCACTTACTTACAGACAGCTGGAAGCAACAAACTAACTTAAACTCCTGTTGATGTTTTGTCTTAGCATTCATTTTTGATCAGTCTTATTAAAGTCTCGGCTTCCATCGCAGTAAAACTGTATTTTTATTGCCTAACAGATGTAACAGGTGTCTAACTGTAGAGAACAGTGTTTTGTGATTTTGTCGCTGTTTTTTGCTCTCTGTGATGTTTTTGGATCAATGTTGGCACCTGGTGAGAATGCTGATGCATCTTTTACGTATAAGACAAGAGGATGCTAATTCAGACATGTTCAGTTGCAGTCAGATTAATGGAAAAGAGTCTGAAAGGGGCTTTAAGCCTGTTCCTGAATGACTCCTGTGTTGTCATTGTGGTTGTGGTGCCTGCACTGTGTGATGAGGTAACAGGTGATTTATCATCTGGAGCAGTTACAGGTGGATCAAACACAGACTGTAGATGGCTGCATCCTCTGTAGTGTCACCTGTAGATTTTCTGAAAAGCAATTTGAACCTCAGTATGGCGGCTTCGACTCAGTCCTTCTACCCCCTGGACCATGCAAATCCCTCTGGGCCATGGACTGTCCTATAACGGCACCCATGTGTCACTTAGAGAGGCTGCATCATTAACTGGTGGCTCAGGTGGTAGAGCGGGTTGTCCTCTGATCGTGAGGTTGGCGGTTCGATCTCCCGCCCCTCCACAGTCGAAGTGTCCTTGGGCAAGACACTGAACCCAACGTTGCTCCCGATGGCAGGCAGCACCTTGCATGGCAGCTCTGTTGCCATTGAATGGGTGAATGAGAAACACATTGCAAGTGTATTTAAGTGCAGACCATAACTCTAAGCTTTAACGCAAGTTATATAGAAATTCAATCCCTGTCCAGTTGTCATGACAGGAAACTTACTATGACAGTACCAGGATGTAAACATGTTTATTTCTGCTGTAAAGTTTTTGTTAACATGGGGGACTGACTTGCTTTTGGAGGCAGCTTCAGGTGGACATTTGTTGAACTGTAGTTTTTGCACTTAAGATGAACTTTATGTACATTTTACAGCAGCCTAGGCTGATGTGTTGGCTGCATTTTACAGTCCCGAAGGTTAAAGCTTGGATCATGACATCAACGGATTTAACTACTCATTATTTATCCGGTTGATTTAAATCTGTTTCGATGATTTTGACCATCGCAAATTAATATTTCATAAAACCCAATCATTGCAACAGTTCCTCAGAAAGCGAACTTGTCACTGTTTGCAGATCCTAAACTAAGCCAGCTCAGTGCGGAGCGCGAGCAGCGAGAGTTTTTTCTTTTTTTTTTCTTCTTCTTCAACCGAGCCGCCGAACACTCCACATCTCCACATGTGGGAATCCGACTGTGATGATGTTTGCTCTAGATGCGCTCACCCACCCCACTCCATCTCAACAAGAGGGGGCATTTCCATGACAAAGGGCAATTATTGACTTTCATTGGCTCCGCTTGCTTTGATATCAGCGAGGGGTGTGTCTGTGTGTGTGTGTGTGTGTGTGTGTGCAGGAGGGGGGTGGGTTCTGGGGCAGCAGTGGAGGAGCAGAAGAAGAAGAAACAGGGGGAACCTGATGAAAGGAGCCGAGTGGGAAAATGCACCCGCTGACCCACAGTGCATTAACAGAAGAGGAGGATCACAGCGGAGAGAAATAAATCATTTGCTAATGTTTTCTTTCTTTCAAGCCTCCTTTTCTGTTTTTTTTTTTTTTTGCGTCTTACCTCTCTTTCTTGTTCCTCGCTCTCTGTTTCCTTTCCCCCCCTTTTTATTTTTTTTTACTCCTTCTTTTTATCTGCCTATATATGACTGATCCCTCCTCCTCCCCCATCCTCCTCCTCCATCCTCCTCCTCCTCCTCCTCCCTTCACCACCATAATTTAAGGGGCTGAAAGGCATGGCGAGCGGAGAAAGAGGAGAAGAGGGAGCTGAGAAAAAGGGGAGACCCTGCAGATGAGGGCCTTTTTCCTTCACGGACGTGGCACAGATGTGAGGGGTGTTTTTTGTGAAATGAGTCGGGGAGGGGCGGCGATAGGCTAATTTGCGTGGCATAAAGACGGGGCCCTTTTCATATGCAGAGCGCCACTTTGATGCGCGGCCGATGAAAGCTGGAGGGAGCGCCGAGGAGAGGAGAAGAGAGGGTGACGGAGGGGTTCTTTGTCCCCTGACAAGAAGGCATCTGCTCCACGCTGCCCTCCTCTCCGTCCTTTCTTGCTGCTATAGCGCCGCTCCCACAATGGGACAGCCGAGAGGGAAAAGTGTCATCAGAGCACCTTAGAAAACAGGACATGAAAAAAGAAGAAGAAGAAAAAACAGCCGCTTGGGGTCGGCCTGGTTGGCGTACGGGTATGCATATCAATACACAAGATCTGCACGCACACTGTTGCATGCGTGCACATGCAGACGTACCATTTGCATAGTTCCACAGCTGACAAAACACATCTTCACGTTGACTGATTGTTCCCTTTGAGAAACAAATAAACCATACAAACTTTCCCCCTTTCACGGGACTCCAGATCAATGGCCTGCAGGGTGAAAGGTGTGCATTTGTGAGCGTGGCGGTGGCGAGATCAGAGACAGCGCCGCCGCCGAGGTGAGCGACGGCGGCGGAGGCGCTTTCTCTGCTCGCGTCTGTCACAGTCTCGTTGTGACTGTACTGCATTCAGAGCGTTTATGTGTGTTTGGGCGTGCACGCGTGCATTTGTGTGTCCTGGCGGCGCTGATCATAGGCGGCCGGCTCACCAGGGCTCTCTCACCAAACACTGGCCGATTTCACGCTCGCACAATAGACGAATCTCTGCAGCGAAAGGCTGAGAGGGTGTTGGCAGGAAAAACGGTCCCCTTCTGCTATAATAGTTAATTCAGTAAATCTTACACATTCATTCACTTAACGACCTGCTTTGAATCAGATCTGCTGCATTAAAAGGTGCAATAACAACATATAGTGAAATCAAAATGATCCAAGACATATCTACAGTATGAACAGGGTAGACTTGAATTATGTTTAACTGGAAAGACAGACCTCAGCACCTACTGAATGGATTAAAGCCTACATACGCTACATTCTTGGCTTCCAGAGGATGAATCACGTAGAGTTTTTTCTCCAGCCCAGGTTGGCCTGCTTCAGCCATGCCAAACCCTGATGACGTGTTTCCACTGCGGCCTCTCGGCAGGGGTTCGCCCCTCAGTAAGCCACGCTGCGGTGGTCCTGCAAGGTAGTGGGTCTCCTTCCCGGTCCTTCAGCACCTGAGCTGTGCTGAAAACCAGAGCGAACTCTGTGTCCGTGAACTCTCCGTGTTGACTTTTCTCGCTTCTACCTGAATGTCTGTGGTTTGGAGTTCAGCTGGTGTTCCTCTTTGTCCATTCAGACGTCGGTCTTGCTTAACCTTCTCCTGCTCAGATTCAGATTTGTTTTGTTGTCATTGCAATTGCAAGTAAGGTGCAGGCCTTTCAATGCAAAAACAAAACATAAAAACTTGGTCATCCTCTGTTGTGTCAGAGTTTAGTTTAGTTGCTGCACAATAAATGGCGCAATGACTAGATGCTTGCGTTAGAACCCCTCTGCAGAAACAGACTTAGAAGTTCTCCTTTGAGTCGTTCAATATTTGTCTTTAAACACACAATACATGACTCAATTTGAAAAGCATGTCTCTGTTTTATGGCTACAGTTAAGCAGGACGATGTGGATCTGAATGCATCATCATGAGGGTGTATACATGAAAACATGCTGCACGGGTCTCCATGAGTCACTACAGCTACGATGCTGAAGAGCTCCGACAGCGCTTTGGGTAAGAAAAACATTGATTAATAACTGCTTGTCGTCGTCTCATTTCAGGTGATCTTTGCCCTGAACCAGACGTTGTTGCAGCAGGAGTCTTTGAGGGCAGGAAGCCTGCAGGTCCCGTACACCACCGAGGACCTCATCAGGCACTACAACTGTGGAGATCTCAACTCCATCATCTTCAATCACGACACCTCACAGGTTAATCCCTCCCTATCTTATCTTCTCTTCTCTCTGTAGCCATGTAACTCTTAATAAGCTAGGAGCCATTTTGACCCCTCTGACCTTCTGTTTGTCACACTGACTCGACCCTCGACCTTCTACCTTCACCCCTTAACCTTCTGACCAACCTCACCCTCCCCTTCTCCCACATCTTCCCCTCCACCCCCTTCCACCAATGTCTCTATACTGCTGGCGAGTTAGTTCCTCTGTTCTTCCATCATTACCCGGCCTTGTCTTCCTCCCAGAAGTCCCCATAAACCAGTCCAAATTGGGCTTTTACCAATTTTGTGGTCAGGAGTGTAACATGGTGATCAAAATGTTCCAGTGTTTTCATTTATACGATGTGAATCAAACTCTTAATTATTTAAAGAAATCTCCTCGTCTCTTTCTCCTCTTCGTGGCCCAACCGAACCCCAACAACTGCAGGTGCCCAACTTCAATAATGTGACGCTGCCGCCCAACGAGCAGGTGACGGCCCAGGAAATAGACAGCTACTTCCGGCAGGAGCTCATCTACAAGAGGAACGAGAGGATGGGCAAGAGGGTGAAGGCGCTGCTGGAGGAACACCCCGACAAGAGCTTCTTCTTTGCCTTCGGAGCAGGTCGGTGTTCAGTTATTAATATAAAATGCATGAAGGAAGGAAAATGGGCAGAATAGGAAAGAGTCAAAGATCATGACGCCCATTTGGTAGCTTGGTGGTCGGTTTACTGGTGTCAACATACCGTCTGCTTTTCGTTTTAAGGAGCCAGCAGCCGCTACACACAAATAAAGTGACGGTTTCCCTCAATATAGAGTTTTTGTTAGCATGAAGCATCCACGATTTCCAGTGTTTCAGAACAAAAACGTCAGACAAAAGACAACTTCTGGGTCTTTCGTCAAAGCACTCAACAAGATTACCTTCATCCGTACGACAACACGACTTAAATTCCCGTCTTTGTTTGGAGAGCACTTGCGTAAAGGAGATAGACGGCGTCTTAGCGCGAGCAGCTTAACAAACTCACAATGAGAAAACAAAGACGACTCGGGACAGACGGGACAGAAATCCCGACTGATCTGGAAAGTGGAACTCAATGATTAGGCTTCTTTTTCCGGCGCTGCTGATTTAACTGATCCACAGTCTCTATCAGCTCTGGGAGCAAATATTTGGAGTTGCTCAATAAAAAGATCATTTTTATCAACGCTGGACTGACCAGAACCAGACTTGTGGCCTACTTGAGTCGTTGGGAAATGTCAGCGCGATGCTTTGAATTCCTCTGTAGCTATGCAGTAACCTCACACAGCCGATAAGAGACCGGACTTAAAACAGGGAGAATGAAAACAACAGATTACAGAAAGCCGTCTCCTAAATCAGAAATGCCTCAGAGTTTATGTGCATTTACTGTGTACTGCAGTAGTTTGATGGTTCTCGGTCGGGCCGTGTGTCCCTAAAGCCGGCAGCCTTTTGTCCTGTTTTTTTATTTTGCCTTTTGTTGGTAAATCAAAGCATTAGTCACACCTAATAAAGGAGACAAGAGCGTTTAATGATCATTTACTCAGGCAGGTTTTCAGTTTAGATGATCCCGTCTCACGGCTACAAATATATAACGGCAAAGATTTAACAAAGCGTCTTTTAAATACACACATAAAACCAAAAGTAAACCTACAACTAAAACGATTTATTGAAGTACTTCCAAGTAACACGTTGCAAGTTTTCAAATAAATTATCAAGCAAATAGCAGAGGAAAGAAAATAAATGCTAAAGATGTAAATACGTTGCTGTAGAGGACGCAATTTTCTTGAATATGTAGTTAAAATTATTGTCACCAGATGTTTTTAGGGAGGCACCTGTAGCTGAACATGGACATCCAGTGAAGCAATTCTCCCATAAGTTAGCAAAAATATGAAAAAAAAACATCAATATTAATTAATCTGATGATTCTCGTTTGATTAATCGGTATATAATTTAGTCTGTCTGTACTAATGTGACGTATTTGTTTTATTCAACCAACAAACCATCACATATAACTTTGAACGTTACATCTGAGAAGCTAAACAAAACCAATTAAATGATAGCAACATGCGTATTCATTATTTTATTTTACTCGTTATGCCATTCATCTTTAATTTGTTCCAATTTACTGATTTTGGTTGCTGATAAGTTCATTTGCAAATGAGTTGTTTAAATTGACTTCCACTCTGTAATTAAAGAAAAAAACCCACAAAATAGTAATAATATTCTTCACAAATCAATTAAATCCAACTTTATTGAAACATTTTCAATGTCAAGATTCAACCACAAAGTCGTGTGATATTACTGAATAAGTCTCAGAGAAAGAAAACTAAATTTTAACTTAGTACAAGTCCACAGGATCAGTTGCTTCAGTAGTTCTGATATTGCAGTTTGAGAGATGAAGTGTGATGTTGCGTAAAGGTGAGGTCTCGACTACTTTATGCAAATGAGCAGCGTCGACCGTGATCTGATACCTGCTTCTAAAAAAACGTTTCGACTAAAATGAAGACAGATTCAACAACTGCACGGCTTATTTTTTGCCTCAAATGTTTTCTGAAGCACATTTTGGCAAACTTTATTTATAATATAAGCAAAAGTTTCCAAATGAGGAGCAGAGAGCCTCTGAGGGAAGCATTCGCACGATCAAGGTCAGCCAGCGTCTGTAGGAGGGCGAGGATTGGATTCCTGTTGAAGAGTATAGCGGAGAGCTGTATATCATCTGTCATACGCTGCATCCATCAAACGTCCAGCGTCGATGCTAATAGCGCCTCCTTGGACACAAACAGTCAGTCATCTTAACAGTGTCCACGTGATCAGTCAGTGAAGATTTACCACCGCTATACGCTCGAATTACAATTCTCATTTTGCACGTCATAAAGCATTTATACTCACATATTCTGAAAAAAAAAAAGTCTCTGAAACCACCAGAAGCTGTGCAAAGTTAACAACATGTTTACTGTGAAACGCCGATAACGAAAAAATCTCTTCCGCCGCAAGTTGACTTTCAAGAGTCGCATCGTGTCAGATTTTCCTTCTGATGGCATCGACGGAGAGATCCAGAGTTTTCATTGGTCATCTGGAAGTAGAAGCTCTGAGCAAAGAGAGAGGAGAGAAAGCTTTGCAGTCTGTTGGTCTCCGAGCTGGCAGGAAACAGCTGAGGAAAAGCAGACATGCACACACACACACACACACACACACACACACACACACACACACTAAAGCCCTAACAAGGAGTACATTTCACAGCGTGTCCCCGAGGAGGTGCCTTTACAAGCGCTTGGTCTCTAAAGGTGTGTGCCTCTGTGTGTGTGTGTGTGTGTGTGTGTGTGTGTGTGTGTGTGTGTGTGTGTGTGAGCTGGTGAGTGAAAGTGATACCACCAATCAGCCCAGAAGCACCGGTCTTAGACATACGGAGGGCAGGTAGGGTCGACGTGTACAAGGAAAGGGGATGGGGCGCATTAGGGTGCACACACACACTCACAAAACACCACATATGGTCACACACACACACTCACAAAACACCACATATGGTCACACACACACACACACACACACACAAAACACCACATATGGTCACACATGTATGCACACACACACACACACACACACACACGGCTCAGCCAGAAGTAGTCGTACCCAAAACCGACCTGAGTAAAATGTGTCCTTAATTATCCCTGGAGGGGTCAGAGGACACACACACACACACACACACACACACACACACACACACTGACTCTCTACAATGGAGTCCATTATGTCAGCACGCTCAGCTTTCCTGCTGCCATCAGTCCGGTCTTATCAGTGACCATCTCGCGTCCTTGTTGTCTCTCTTTATTCTGCATTTTGTCTCGTTTGCATAATAATTCACCGAACTCCTAAAAGTGTGACGTGTTGCTGCGAAGTACCTGCGTTTTTCTTCCCCTCCTTTAAATCGTAACACCGCAAGCTTTAGATAATCCACAGCCAACCTGAAACTCGCCCAGAACCGAACTGGACCGCAGAGGAATTAAGAGTCGCGTGTTGTGAAAGCGCAGTGACATATTTAGCATATTTCTCTTCCCCGAGTAATGATCCCATTAGCTCGCAGGGGTTGGCCCTGCAGATTCCTGAACCGACGCTATGTGGAAAATTGTTGAGGGTTTCTAATTTTTTTTTGCCTTCAGTAAGGTTTATTGCCACAACAAGTTAACAAAACAGTTTGTACAGAATAATTTACATCCCTGGTCGGACACCCGACTGCGCTTGGCCGAAGGAGATGGAAGATAGAACAAGAGTTGAGTCTGTGGATGCCTAATTCATGCTTTTTTTTAAAAATCAGGATTGAAGAAAGCCAGTGAGGTAAATGTTGTGTGCAGGAATCAGTGTAATAGAAACATAATGACTTATGCGTCACTCCTGATCGCTGTTAAAGTAAAAAAAACACTCATCAATCTGTAATCTAACAGCAGAAATGTTTTAAATTCAGAATTTAAATACGCAGGACGTGGTATAGTCGTGCAAAAGCAGTGAAGACAAATGCATCTATGTGCTGTTTTCATTGTCATCTGTGTCTATGGGAAAAATATTCAGTGACTTTTTTTTGGGGGGGGTGCATGAGTTGGAAATTGTTTATGGAGAAAGCATTAATGGTCGACAACCGCACGCTGCCAAACCAGAGCTAACATTTTCTAACCCCTAAATGATTTCTCATGTGTTTACAGCAAACAGACACACACACACACACACACACACAATTTCATACCAAGCAAGACAGATTTTGCCCGAAACCATGTGCCAGTTGTCAGGATTAATTTACACCTTGATACCAGAGCGAGTGGCAAACTGGAGGCGGATTAGCGCATTAGGAGATGTGAGTACACATGCTGATTAAAAGATGTCGCGCCACAAATCAAATCAAGCGGGTAAACATTTGGTTTGATACCTGAGACTGTGGAAGTGTTTTTATCAAAAAAAAGGAAAGTCATAGTTGACAAATGGGATGAATGAAAAAACATGAAGCTAAACTCAATTTGGTCCTAATATTAGCAGAAAGCTCATTTCTTTTGCCAGAGAGTGACGCGTCCAACGAGGGGTTTTGCAGAATATCTTCTAAACGCGGGGCTTGTTCGTGCCACCGAATATGCTCTGGCTGAACTTCTTAAACTTCGGGTGGAGACAACGTCCTGCCAAATGTGTCGAACAGAGCTCAGCGGGATTAGATGTCAGACAGACAACTAACTGGCTGATTGAGAAGTTGTTGTTCTGTGACTTCTATGAGACGAGTGAGTCATTTATAAAACCGTAAGACTCTCTGGCAGCGCTGCGAATAAGACGATGTGAGGAGATCCTTCTGTAAGGACTGGAACAACAACACCGGAGAAACCGCTCCAGACATTTTTTTCAACGATGGATTCAATTAGTCAGAAAAACGGCAAAAATCTCAAACTAATTTTGAACATATTGATTCTGTCGTTGGGTCCAGACTCAACAGAATGCAGCCTGTGACCAATTTTTATTTTTATTTTTTTGCTCTTGCCGTCGCAGAAACTTTGTTTTCTCAGCGGTCTGGTCAGAATATCGGTCAGGACGGCAACAGTCAAACAAACAGTCGTGGTCGCTGGTCAGAACTTCAG